AGGAGGCCTTCTCCTCCCTTGCCTCTCGTCAGCCTGCACGTGGCCCCCTCCCCAGCCCGCCGCCGCCGCCGCCTCCCAGGCTGACTCCCGCTGGGACAGGCCAGGAGCCGCTGGCCCCACACTGGCTTACTGTCCTTTCCTTGACCGACCGCTGCAGGGACACGCGCCCTGGTCGGTGCCCAGGGCTTGAGCTCCGCCATCCTTCTTTGGGCTGTGGTGCTGGGCGCATCAGTGAGAGGCGGCCTTGCAGAGAAGCCTCTCTAGCACGTTCTCCCCACGTGCAGGGCCACCTCCCCCAAGCACCCCCTCCCCAACTCCATTCTGGGCATGGAACTCGATGATCTTCCAGAGATTTCCATGAAGCAGGAATGCCTCCAAGCTTGAGGCTATTTTGTCTGAAAGAGAGTCTGTGGCCTTTGGCTCCCTGCAGGGCCTCGGTCCACCCCCAGCAGGTACAAACCGTGGGCTGAAACGCCGCCTGCGTTGAGTGCCCGGTAAAATGCAGGCACAGCCAGGGCCGGCCAGACAGAAATCACAGGGTACTTTATGCAACCGGAAGCCGTACTCAGCCGCTGGTGTCACCGGGTGATGCCCCAGGACCGCTAAAATGCCCATTGCGGGTTTAGACTGCCTTGGGCCTCGAGAATACTCTCGTAAGGCTCCTAAGCTGTCGTGGTGTTGGCAGGGTGTTCCCCAGCCGCTGGTCGAGTCTCCACGGTGTCCGTCTTTCCCTCCACACTCTGTGCGTTCAGGCTGTGCCTGAAGACTCATTAGAGATGTTCACCCACCCCCAGGCGCCTTGGCTGCCGGTGGCCAGTGGAGGGTGTTTTCATGCTGGCTGAGAGAATTCCAGTGGCCCGGCCGACATCTAAAGTAAGATGCACACAGTACCATGGAAAAGGAGGAACCAGTTTATTGAACAGCTGCAGGGAGCAAAAATAGTGGATTGCGCTACATTTGTTACACACCAAGCAGGAAACGCTTTGCCATCCCGATGTCCCCCCCACCACCCCGCCGGCCCACAGGCTCGAGCCCATGCCAGGTGGTCTTGTGTGTGCTGGACACCAGTTGAGCCCGGTTTAGACATGGCAGCAGCTGCCCGCGTTAAACCCTGCCCCCTTGTCCGGGGTGACAGCGTCAGTGCTCCTTTTCCCTCCTGGAACGAACGGCCCTTAGCCTGGAGCATCTGCTTGCTTCTGCTTTGCCTCCTTGGGCCATGGCACTCCCAGTTCAAGGCCCGGGCCCAGCAGGCACGATTTCTGTTGCGGACAGACACGACACCTCAGACCTTAACAAATCCACCCTTCCAGTGCCTGTTTCTAGTCTCAGCCACTTTGTCCAGTGTTTCCGGCTTCAGGTCACGCCCAGTGGTTGTCTGACAGCCAATATTCCCAAGGTGCAGGAAAAGCCCCGAGCGTTTCTTGCTTCCTGTGGCTGTTCTGGCAGTGGCAGCCACGGTGTGTGTGGAGGATTCCAAGGGGGAAATGCTGATGATGTCCCATGAAGGCATGACACCCCCCCACCCTGGGCACGACAGGTGTGCCAGCAGCATCTACGTCTGCAACAGAACACGTATGTCTCCGATACAAGCTCGTAAAAAAATACTTTAACAGAATATACTGTACAGAACTAGGATTTGACACGGTATATTACAAGGCTAAAAGATTTGTATAAATACTATACAGGCACAGAGTCACTCCATTAGAAAGGGCTCACCGAGGGGGCCGGGAACACCTGCCGTCAGCATTGCCCGAAGAGAACCGACTCCTGCCGCCGGAACACAAACAGCAAGGACGGTGTGGGCGCGCACGGCGCCACCGGGGTGTAGGTACACTTCCTCCTGACTACGCCCCGACAGCAGACTCTAAGCTATGTGGTGAGGCCAGCCTGCTTCAGATAACGTTTCCAAAGAACACTTTTGATGGGAACTTTAGCACTTTGAAAACCAGTTCCTTCCCTGGCCTAATTAGCCATCCCTAACAGAGCCCAGCCAGCTCCTGAGGCACCCGCCCGGAGGAGGGGATCGCTCTCTCCTTCTCGCACACGCTGCCCCCAGCATGCCCACAGCCGCTGACACCCACCCCCCAGCCCACACTGCGCGTGCCCGTCCCCTGCCATGTGTGCGTCCGTCACGGTGAGTCACTGGTAGGCGTTGAGTGCAAACAAGGCATGAGATGGAAGTCCCCGGAGCCCCAGCTCCAGTTCCAGTTCTGGGTGGGGTAAACAAAGAGGCAGAGGAGGCTAGAAGACAGCGAGCGTCCTGGTCCACTTGCGTTCTGTTCCAGGGAGTGGTGTCTAATCTGGCATTTCGATATTTAATTTGGGAGGCGGGAGGACGTATTTCCCAGGGCTCTGGGTGATAACCACCCTGGTCTTCTTCCGAAACATTGGAGCAATTTTAGGAGGTTCTGGAACTGGGGTTTCTTCTGTTTCCTCATTATCTTCATGATGGAGGTCATAGGAAATGTTTCCGTATTCTCTCAAAAACGGGAAGATTTCAAGCAGAAATTGACAGAAATCCTTGCGAATCCCAAACCACCCTGAAAAAGAAGGATGTACTTTTTTAAACACTGGCCTCCACTGAATCTCCTGTCACTTTACTTTCCTGATCATGAAGTTTTATTCGTACAACGTAATGCTTCACCCTGATACCTCAGAAATGAAGACCGAGCAAGGCCTGGACACCCATGAAGGGCAAGAAGAAACGCCCTGCAAGCGGGCTTCCCAGACCAGCAGCGACCACAGGGCGCACTGTGACCTTGCCGGAGGTCAGGCAGTGGCTGAGGTACGGGTGCCCACTGGCACAGACCTCCCGGGCCCTCTGACGGGGGCTCCAGGGGCAGGACTGCTCTAGCACATCTCAGACGGACACCTGCAGCATCAAGCCTATGTCACCATCCTCTCGTCTTCCCCACACAGGCCAAAGAATATCAAGTATGTCAACCAGAAAAGGGACTTCATGTCAACCAAAAAAGGGGCTTCTGTCAGCATCTGGCAGCCACGCTGGTCCTGCCAGCCTGAGCTCCCGGGGCCCCCTCAACGCTACTTCTCTGAGGCCTGCTCTTGCTGTCTGTACCACGGGACCGTCAGCTCAGTGCTGGCTCTCCCAGGGCATACCCCCCCAACTGCCCAGCCTCCTGGCTTCAAGAATGGCACGCTCTGGCACTACCTGCAAAGAGGCTTACAGTGTAGTAAGGAAGGAACCGTTGTCAAAGATCACTTCAAAACTGAATGTGCCATCGTGCAGGTGGGGAGGAGAGAGGGCAAGCAGGTCACCACTGACAAGCCACAGTGATGTCAGCAATGTCACTGGGGAGAGCCAGGAGGACACAGAACCTAAGAGCAGTCCCGGGGTTTGGTGGGTGACATGGATTTTTATCTAATCCTTGGGAGCCCCTGGGAAGCAGGGCTAAGAGGCTACCTACCACGCTCAGCCCTACGTCAGATGGCAGAGTGCACCATTAGGGAGGTCATGGTACAGGGCATGGAGAGCAAGGTTGACAGCACACCCTTCCCTTGGAAGGTTCCAGGTCTTCCTCGGGCGACCTCCTTAACTGGGACCCTCAGGCTCATCCTTTCACAGAGTGGAGCCACACGCACGCACGCGCGCGCGTGCGCACACACACACACACACACACACACACACACACACAGGTCAAGGGCTTCTGAAGTGCTGAGTACGTACAGTGGTTTCCTCCCTTCTGTCCAAATGTGGTTGCCATCAGAGTGATCAAGGAAAGCCAAAGAGGGACAAATATCGGGATACAAGAGAATGCGTTGTGGCCGTCCAGTTTGTGAACCAACAGGATCTGAGGAAAGAGAAATAGTTGAAGTTCTATTGATAAAGCATCTGAGGACGGATAATGGCTGAGGTCAGTCCACCCTTCCCTTGTCAGGTCTCATAAGGGGGAAGGTCGGCTCCACAGGAGACTAGAGAAACCCTCTATTCTGGGGGGAAGCGCGAGGTAAACTCTCATATCCCTCTTTAGGACGAAGCAAAATCTGTCCACTTGGGAAGTTTCCACCACCAGGCTTGTTGTGGGAACTCCTGCTGGTGTTCGTTCTAAAGCATCAACAGTGCCCAGTCTCTAATTCTGCACGGAACTCAATATGAAAAACTACCAACTCTCTCTTCCTAGAGGTAGACCCATCAACACACACTGATGCATCATGGCTACGGAGACTCACTTCTCGCCCCCTTCCGCAAAAGAAAGGACACTCTAATTCTACCATCTTCCTCTCCATCCCTCCATCCTCTGAGGTGCTTCTCGAGGGCCAGCTCAGGGCCTGAAGAGTTCTGCTATCGAAAGCTTACCTCAAAAGTAAGGAGAGGCACGACGATGGTCATCCAGCTCAGTGCCATTGTTATGTGTGTCCTTCGCTGTTCTGCAATCACATCCATGGAACGCAGGAACAGGACAGACCACACGATGTAATAGAGGACCACCAGGCACAGAAAGGACATGAGAATCCACAGAGGGACACACACGACCTGAGGGAAGGAGACAAAAAAGTCGGTTGGGTCTGTGCCCCAGCACCTGAAGGCGGGCCTAGCCACGCCCTTGGCGGACGTCCGCAATTAGGACAGCGCCAGCCGCCCCTGCAGCCCAGCTCTGCGGTGCTGAGGACGGCCTGGGGCTGCCGCCGCTCCGGACACGCTCTGCCACGGGCCACGCTCGGGGTGGAGGGCCCAGCAGCTGCCCTTCTAAGACAGGACCTCACTCGGCCCACACCTGGCTCTGCCCCGAGGGAAACAGGGCGGCCTGCGCCCCCCTGCACGCTTGCCCCACCTTACCCTGACACCCTCCCCCCCATTCACGGCTGTTTGCCTGCCCGGCCCAAGGCTGCCCTCCACTCTCGCGCGCACGGGACACCAAGAGGGCTCTGCCGCCCGGTCCCTGCCACCTCGCCCAGGCGGCTTCCACGCCTGCGGCTGCCACACCACAAACAGCTTGCTTCACTCCCACACGAGCGCACATGAGCCCCTGGGGCCTCCCCAGGCTCCCCTGTGTGGTCTTCCTCCCTCCTGCACTGCCCCTTGGATCTGTCTGGCATCCCTCTGTCTCGCTATCAAACAGTAAATTGACTGTTTTCCCTTGGTAGACAGGTCTGACTTTTCACACACGCATGTGCAGAGCTGTGTATCCCCAGGCAGGACACAGGACAGCTGTTTCACCCCACAGGACTCCCTCGTGCGGTCCTTCACGGTGTCATACCCTCACCCCACCCCCAACGCCTGGCACCCACTGACCCATTCCCTCTCGCTACTCTTGGGTTGTTTCAAGAGCATCCCACGGCACCGCCGTCTGAGGCTGCCTTCTTCCCTCAAGCCACAGGGTCTGTGAGGCTCCCCGCCTTGCTGCGGGTGACGACAGGCTGTTTCTTTTTATTACCAAGTGGCATTCCAGAGGATGGATGCGCCACTGCCCGTGCGTCCAGCACCCGTGGAAGGAAACTGCAGGGCTTTCCCGCTTTTGGCTGTCCCAAATAAAGTTGCTACCAACACTCAGGCACGGGTTTTTGTCCGGCCCTACAGCACCATTCCTCTAGGGGACATACCCCGGATTGGCCCTGCCAAATCATATATCAACTCCATGTTTAACTTGCCATGAAACGGCCAAACTGTTTTTTGGAGTGCCTCTACAACTCGGCATCCCCACCAGCGATGTGCAAGTGTCCCTGTCTCTCCCCACCCTCCCCTGCGCTCCGCTTCGTGTTTTAGCTCTGCCTTCTGATGAGTGTAATCTGGGACCTCATCCTGACCTTGATTTGCCCTTCCCTACTGGGTAATGATGTCCTGTCGTCCTGTCCGTGTGCTTATTTGCCATATGTATATCCTCTTTGTGAATTGTCTTTTCAAGTCTTCTGTCAATTTTAAAATTAGGTTGTTTGTTTTATGAGTTTTGAGTTAAGATGTTTTGGATACAAGTCCTCGTTTGGACACGTGCTTTGTGAATATTTTCTTTTACTCTGTGGCCTTTTCATTCATTTCAATTCTGAGCTGCTTTTATGGACCTTGTTGTTAGTGCCACTTGTAGGGACTCCTGATCTAACCCCAGGTTCCCAAAGATTTTCTCCTGTGCTTTCTTCAGACAGTGCTTCGGTTTTCCAATTTGTTTTTAGAACTATGACTTGAGTTGGTGTGTGATTTTTAATCCTCTCAAGTAGCCTGGAGTTCCTGATGGTAGGTTTTGCTGTACAATCTATGGAGGGTCTCTTCCCAGGGCCCCTCCTCATTTAGCAGCGCTCACTTAGCCACCCTCCCCCTGCCCCGGATCATAGCGATCATAGCAGCCTCCCTCGGTCTCTCCTGATCACTGTGAGAAGCATGCCATCAGACTGTTCCATCTGCTGACTGGGGCTGGAAAAACCTCTCTGCTCACCTACAAAAAACACTTATAATTCATCTTTTTTTTTTCCTGATTGCACCTTATACTAAAATGTTTGGTCTTAGATTTCTTTCCTCCACATCACAACAGAAAATCCTGAACCCGATTACCTTTCTCCAGATACACCACCCTGAAGATGGAGGACAGGTACCCGAACATTTTGTATTATGACTGTTTTATCAAAGACTTTGGGCAGAGATGATGAGTTCTGCCTTTATTCATTATGGAGGTGACTATGTTCCCTTATTTTCTTCCCTGTCACCAAATGAATATTTTCTCTTTTTGCTATACTTGGTACTTTTTTTTTTAAGGTAAACCATGTTCATAACAGAAAATGTCTTATGTGCAAAAGTACACATCAAGCAGCGGTGGGAGTGGGGACCCAAAACCCCAGCGCGACCTCACCTCCCAGAGGCCATGCGCCCCCCTTTATGTTGGTTCTCACCTGCCTTCTAGGCATTCATAGCAGGAAGTCCAAGCCCTACTGGCTTATCTGTAGCTTGCCATGAATATATAATGACATGTGTATGTACCTATACCCACCCCCCTTCCCGCCCCCTTCTATCCATCTACGCAGTCAATTTCAACCAAACACTCAGGAACTGAAGCCACAGGTTCCGAGCAGGAGTGTACAGTGGCACAAGTTTTTTTTTGAAAAGCAAGTTGGGAGTGCAGTCTGTCTTCCAAACTCTCAAGTTCCCACCCTCTGGCCCAGTAATACTGTCTCTGGAGTTCTTCCTAAGAAAATAATGAAAAAAATCAGGCAAAGATTTTTAGGCACAAAAATATATGTTACATCATGATTTATAATCACACTAGTATCAACTTCAATATTTGGAAGGGGATGTTTGGTAAATGCATTTGAAGAATATTGCATCAATTAAGCTTTAAAAATTATGTTTATAAAGACCTTTTATTGCCAGGGGAAAATGCTCATGATGCATTAGGATGAGAGCGTAGCGCGCAACACCGTGCGCGCAGCACAGGCTCGGCTACCTTCACGGAGCGGTAACACCCGGCCCAGGAAACCCCGCACACCGGCCGTGCTCTCTCCCAGTGGGTCACGGGTGACTATCATTCCATCACCTAAGCTTTTCTGTCTCTTCCAAGTTTTCTACAATGAACACAATGTACTTTTATAATTAAAAAAAGAAAAGTTTATTTAAGGATTTAAAAAGTTACATACAAGCCAGGGCCAGTGGATGATCTTGTCCAGTCTTAAGGCAATGAATATAAACTGCAGGATGTTGACAGAACACAGTATTTCTAACTAAAAATGAAGAGAAGAATCAGTTAAGCAAAGTAAAAGTTGTATCGAATACTGCAATTATTTGGTTAACACACTAAAAGGCAATGCAAATTATAATACGGGAAAAGTCTGATGAAGTTATACTGGGACCTCCTGATTTTCTGCCCCGGGGAGCGAAGCAACGCAGCGACAGCAAGAAACGTGCCTGCCGGTCTCCTGTCCCGGCCCCTCTGCCTCACGGCTGCCTGCCCTTTATGCTCTACCAAACAATAGCCTTGTTTCCGGGCTCGCCGGGTAGAGGCAATCCGTGGCGGACAGCGCAAGCATCCTTCCTGCCCCTACCCACAGACATCTCTATTCCATACCTGCACTTCTTTCTTGTACCCAGGACTCAGCTCTCCACCCCTTCCTTTCTGGCTCCTTGAGGACCTTGTCACATCAAGACATCAATTACAGATTCTTTATTGCATCGTTAACCTCTCCTGTTCCACTGATCTCTCCCAGAAGCACAGACACAAGTTCAACTCATTCCCATTAAACACAAAAGAGCCCAAGACCAAATGAGCCCCTCCCTCCCTGAAGCCAGCGTCCGCTCCCAGCCCTAGCACTTTGTTACCATCCAGCTCTGTGAGACAGCACGTATGCTCCAGCCTGTGGCCTCCCCTGCCATTCCAAGCTCCCAGCACTGCGATCTGGCCTCCAGCCCTGACCACTGGCAGCTGCTCTGTCAAGGTCGTCAGTAACCTCTACGGCATCAGACCACCTGTGTCAGCTCATCCTACGGGGCATCTGTGTGGCATCTCTTTCCAGGAGCCCAGCGCAGTCTCGCCCTCCTCCTGGTGCTCTTGCAGCTCCTTTACAGTCTCCTCCTCTCCTTGAACCCTGATGCCCCCCAGAGCCTTCAACTTGGTCTTCTGTCCCCACTAGAGAGACACGGACACAAACACACAGGCTTCCCCTCGCTCGCCCTGCCGTCTACCCAGCCCCAGCTTGGGTGGCTTCCTGCTGACTGCTTCACCCAGCTCTGTCTCTGACTTAGCCTTTCTGCTGTGGCCCAGACCCAGCTCTCCTAGAGATGCCTCAGCCAGAGCCAGTCCCAGACTGAGTCCATCAGCCCCTCACACCTTTACCCTGTCCCCCTCCCTTCCAGAGCCTCCCGCCTTGCTGTAAGGCACCGCGGCGGCCCAGTGACCCAAGCCACACTGCCAGCAAGCACCATCTACTCCTTTTCCCACTCTTGCATGCTCCGTCACCACGCCCTGTCCTCTCTACCAGCCCGACGACTACTGCCTCATCAGGCCCTTCTCTCTTCACCAGCCACCCCCCCCAATGCCTCCAACAGCCCCCTGACTAACCTCCCAGCCTCTAGTCTGGAAGGCTCTCTGCTCCCAAACACCCCCCAGGCCGTCTTCCTTCTGGGAGCAGCACTCGCTACTCTTCCGTGGCTTGCCACTGCCTACAAAATGAAAATCACAGGAAGCCGTCTGATCTGGCCCAGAGCTTCCCCAGAGTTCTCCGTTCACAGGGCATTTTGTGAGGGAGCAATTCTTTCCGAGGCCTCTGGGCTGAAAGAAATCCTTAACAGTCCCACTGGGTTAAGTAATTAGATCTAAACTTAGTATTTATGTCCTAAGTAGCCATCTAAAAAAAAAAAAATAACTCCCATAAATCAAAAGAAAAATACGATTTTTACTTCATTCCTAAATAACCACAACTAATTCCTACAAGGACGTGTGTGCCTGTTGGGTGCCACACCATTTCTTAAGACACTGCCATCCTCATTAGCTGTTCTCCCAACAGTTTTGCACAGAACGACCTTCTCCTCACAGCAACTGCCAACAACCCAGCTTCTTCTCCAATATCATCCAAACTAATGTAGGGTGACCTGATAATAAAACTGTAAACTACTTGGAGGTATCCCCACAGCTGGTTGGTACCATTGCTTTTCCCTCCGAAACGTCCAATACCCCTCGGTGCCCTGGGCGCTCACTGTGGCGCCCTGCGGCAGCTGAGCGCACGCCTGACAACTGAGGGTCCGGCCCCTGCGCGGCCCAGCCCCTCCCTCCAGCCTTCCTTTCCCCCAACTCCCACCGCTCTCTCCTTTCCGCTTCATGCTCCGGGCAATTTTTTTATTGTGGTAAAATACACACAACAGAAAACTTACCGTCTTAACTAACCATCTTTAGCTGTACAGCTCGGTGGCAGCACTAAGTCCATTCATACTGTTGTGCGACTGTCACCAACAGCCATCTCTAGAAGGCTTTGCATCTGGCAAAACCGTGCTCCAGTCACATTGGAGTCACCAGAGTTCACTCAGCGTGACAGATTTTCTCCTGCCTCTACGCCTTTGTATGTGTGAGTCCCTCTGCCTGGAAAACATCATCCCCTACCCCACCAGCATAGGGCGCCCCGGCAAACCCCACTCTTCCTTCATGTCTCTGTGCAAGCCTATCCCCAGGCACCCCCTAGCAAACGTAGTACTCTTCCTCCTGGGACATAAGCACCAAGAGGGAGCTCGACTCCGGACATGGCATTTCTTCCCCTAGGTAGGAACACTCAGTGTGACTACACGAACAACTTAGTTTTTGTAACTCTGCATTGGGAAAATATGGTTTCATGCCCAGTGTAATCCTGGCCCTTGTATATACTTTTACTTTCTAAGAAACAAAGTTCCAAATTTTTACATGTATCTTAAACTTCCTCCTCAGTCCCTATCCAGCTACATTTAGATGGCTCCCTCGGTGCTTTTCGATCTGGGCGACATGGCCCCTGCCCCAGGAAGAGGCTAGGAATGGTGCAGGGGTGCCCCCGGGTCTCTCACACACTTATGGGGAGAGCCTCTCCACCAGCATTTAGTGGGCAGAGGTCAGGCAGAAGCGTCCCACAATGCATAACACAGTCCTGTTCAATAAAACATTTCCTATCCCAAAGGCCAACAGCACGTGTCCCTCCCCCACTGAGAAATGTTGAGCCAAATAGGGAATACCTGGAATGTGTGATCTCAGTGATTGTTTTATGTAAGCTTTCACTAATGATTTTTAAAGCTTGGTTTTGCCTCATCTATGCAGGTAATAGAGAAACCATGCAAAGCAACAGGTGGAAATGGTGCCTTTGACCAGCACAGAGATACAGAGTCAGGCGACGTTGGAAAAGGAGTCCAGAGCTGGCATCAAAACCTGAGTTCGACCACATGAATTCAGGAGGTGACAGCATGGAAGTGGCAGCGGAGACAGGAAGTAAGCAAGATCATCCACAGTGTGGATCACAAGTATGCCCAGTGAGGACAGAAAATGCCCAAGCCTAGAATCCTAAGCAGCAACAAAGGAGCCAAAGCATAGGGGGCCAGTCTAGTCAAAGGCCCAGGAGTGACATGGCTGGTGGCCAGAAAAAAAGGACTGGAAGGGCCCACTGGATCTGGCCAGTGTCCTGGGAGTGGGGGAGCTGAGTGGGGAGCCAGAGGTCAGAAGGGCTCTGCTGGAGGGAGCCTTTCTGTGAACGAAGAGAAAGGCACAAGAGCCAGACAGAGGACTGAGAAACTTTTGCTGCTGTCGTTTTGCTTTCTCTTTCAGATGTGAGAGCCCAGTGTTACCAGACAAGAGCGTGGATGGACGCAGGAACAAATGCTCAGAGGAACCGGAAGGGGCGAGGGTCTGCCTGCAGCGGGAAGGAGCACCATGCTGAGGCCTGACAGGTACCAGGTTGCCCGGGGACAAGGAGGGTCTCTGGGCTTCCCTCAGATAGCCCTCCCTCCATGGTCGCTGCTGTGGGACTGGCCATGCTCCCCTGTGCCCGTGCCCTCTCCCCGGTGGAGACTAAGCGTCCTGGCACTCAGGGCCCAGGGTCCTGTTCCATTGGGTTCCCACAGAGCCTTGCTCCCTCACCAGCCCTCTCTACAGGAGCCTTCCAGCCCCACTGCCGCTCTCCTTCCTCCACTTGTTACTCACCCAGCTCAAAACCAAGCCTCCCTAGCATCCAGTTCTCCCCTCGCCCCATCTGTATAGAGCTTTGGGCCCTCAGCTTCCATGCGGTTCGGTGTGCAGGCTCTGGAGTCGGGCTGACTGACATGTGATCCTGGCCCTGGCCCTGCCCCTTAACGAATGGCCAGGAACAAATCCCTTCCCCTGTCATAAAACAGGGGTGGCTGCTGCATCTACTTCACGGGGTTGTTGTGCATCTTCACCAAGACACTACTGCCTGGGAAGAAACCAGTCCGGTGCCTGGCGCACAGTAAGTGCTCAATAAATGTGACCTGCCATCATTTTCCATACTGGTATTAGTACTGCTCACACTGCTTTTTGGTTCAGCTGCGTCTCCCCTATGTCGAGGCACAACGGGCTCGAAGCAAACCAGAGAGCAGATGAAGTGCCAGATCACGGGGTCTGCAGTGGCGTGGCGCTCACTCTGAGGTGCCCGTGTGCCTGGGCTACACAGGACCGCTTCCTGAAGCAAGCACGAGTCTAGGTATTGCTGTGAAAGGACTGCCTTTCAGTAAAGACTATCCTCGAGACTGTGGGTGGTTGCATCAAACGAGTTAGAAAGCCTGAGGTTTCTTGGAGAGGACGAAATTCTGTTTCAAGACGCCAGCATCAACTCGGGCTGCATCTTCAGCCGACCGGTCCGCCCTATGAATTTCAGACTTGTCAGCCCCACCGGTCCATGAGCCAGATCCTTAAAATTAATCAATGGCACTCTCTCTCCCCCTCCCTCCCCCCTTTCCCCACCTCTCCTATTGGCTCTGTTTCTCAGGAGAAGCCTGACCAACACCGGGGACTAGGGAAAGCCATGGAGCTGGATGGAGCCTGTGTTCTAAGTCAAGAAAGAGAACCATGATTATTTCCATTAGCTTTTGTTTCCTTACATACCATAATCTATAGTTACAGACTAATCTCTTCCTAACAAAGGGCAAGAAACGTACATTACAATAACAGACCAAAAGATTTTACTTTTTAAAACATTCTTGAATATATGAAATCTCACCTCTAGTGACCTGTCATGTCGAAAGCCCCAAACACAAGCTGCAACGGACACCGGGGAGACAAAGAACAGCGGCATGAAGACCAGAAGCCAGAAATGGCTTCCTCTTTCAATCCTGTCACAGACCAGAACTTCAAACATCAACAGGAGCAAGTGGATGCCCACTGCAATTAACATGGCTTTAAACTCCACACACGTTTCTCCTTCTGCTCTAAAAAGGGACATCAGAGGAAGAAGAAGAAAAATACTCAGTTCAGAATCGCCAAAACAGGCAGGCAGTCCAGGGCAAATATCAACAAAACTTATATTGATACTATGAACAATATTTATAAATCTGACAAAAAGCAAAGGAAGTTAGGTAAAATGCGAACTTACACTTAATCTTTAATAGGCAATCTTTCAAACGCCAAGGAACTACTACATGACAATAAATGAACATTACAGTCAAACCAGACAAAGTTTTAACTGGATAACGACATTCTGAGAAGTGAAAGCCAGAGTTATTACTGCCCTGACAGTAAACATAAATGCTTGTGTTCAAAACTTTAAACTATTTCCAAGATTATTCAAGCTGATTGCTTCTACTACTAAAAACGGACAAATATCCCTTAAATCTCATGATCCTCATCTCTCAACAAATTAAAAACCATGTAAATCACATTTCATGCAATACTATAAAAATAACTAGCTTTATGAATAAGTGTGGGTTATATTTCAAGAAAATATAGTAACTATTGCTAGGGGCTATTTTAAAAATGCCGATAAAATTATGAACGTCTTTTTATTTTCCTTTCTATTCCATGAGGATGAATTAACACCTGCAGATGAAAGAGAAGAGCAGTTAAAACTGTTTTTAAACAAAATCAGGTTAATTAGCTGTTTAAGTACCATGCAGGAACTCATCAGATTAACAACTGAAAAATAATTAGGCTGCTAAACAGGGAAATGCTAAAAAATGCATGTGGAAGGCCTACAGTGTTTCATTCAAAATAGAGATAAACATTTATGATGTATCTTCTAGGTGATAAATACACCTGAGGTTAAATAAATAAATAAATAAATACACCTGAGGTTAGGACAGAGAGAAAATGAAGCCAGTGGTCACCTGTACAGGACCACCAACATTCCACCGAAGGACCACGTCTGCACACTCACTACATTCAACTACACATACACAGTTCCTTTCCTCGCTCTAAAAATCTTAAACCAACAGGGCAAAGCTCAAATAGGTTCTCAATATCAATTAGTGGAACCTAAAATGTTTAGGTATTTAACTTTTCATTCTTTAAGTCATAAATATTAGGTATCTGAAAATATCTCATAAAAAAGAAAAGATTTGCCAGCTGAACAGGTAATCTTAAAAAAGAAAAAAGAAGTCTAAGCACTTTAAAACAGCTACACACAAATGTCCCCCATCTGCCAAGGCTCTCTATAGGACTATTTTAAAGTTCCTAGCTATGCGTGTGGCAATGTATGTGACGTGGGCTAATCAAGACTGAAACACCTGCACTTCTTGCACGTGAGCAGCTGCCCACGTGGCACTCCTTCCCTCCCCATCTTCCTGCTGAGGGTTGAGAATAGTCCCTCAAGTCTCCGTTTTCCCTTTCTGAAGTGCCAGCCTCTGAGAGGGAGAAGAGACTCTCTGGGTCCCAGCAGCACTAGGCTGCACACCGGAGCTGAGCCAACTCCAGGAATCTGAAAGGGCTGCGGCAGCCGAGAAGAAAGGTACAGAGTGAAGGTAAAGCTTACCCCTCTGCCTGGCCCCCAAAGGCTCTGCTCTCCTTCACAGCATCTGGGCCTCATCTTGCCCTGTCTCAGCGACATACTGTTTCCTGGCCAAGCTACCCTCCCAACACACATACTGCTAACAGTCCTAAAACCCCAGGACTAGGAGATTGGGACAAGGGGAACCCAATTCCAGGACTGAACTGGAGACAGATATATCCCTGATGATCAAAGCCAGGCTTCTGTTTTATAGAACTGCTCCTGCAAACATGATAGTTTTATACTTCCTAGCCCAGCATGGTACAACAGTTCGGTATTTTGGATGCATTTTCTATTACGTTGGCTTTTGTGGGCTGGCTAGGATCTTAAGCACCCCAAATGACACTGCTTTTATTTAAAAATGCATATCAAACCCCTAATTTTTAAACTACTTAGAAGAGAAGTCAGTTTGCCTATATTATAGTTCTTATAAAACCCCAGATAGGCTGAAAAAAAATAGTCCTTAATCAAAAGTGAAAAACAAGATATTGCTCCCTCAGGGTAGAGACCAGTGGGTTTTATAAAGCAGTATTACCGATATTGGGGATTTCGTGCCCAGACTCCAGTTCCAACTGAGGCTCCAACAATGACCATCAACTTCCACAGCCATATTGGAGCAAAGACAGCCCAGTAACTCCACTGAATGATGCCATCCAGACGAAGGGCCAGCAGCACAGAGAACAGCAGGAGACAGGCATAGATGAGGAATTTACTAGGAGAAAAGTAAAATGATTAAAGATGACTCACTTTTACAACTATGTGATACTGAAAGGGAGAGTCATAACAGCAGTATTTTTGAGCATGTGTAAAGAGTCACTGATTCAACAATCATGTATTGAAAAGCTCTATGTAGTAGACATACTGTGTTAGGGGATTCTGGAAACATACAGGAGACTAAAATAAACGTTCCCTGCTTTCCAGGGCTTTCTGGTAGGAGGGAGGCCACACAGAAACATAGAATTTTAATACAGCCTATGGTGCGTGCCGGAATGGTGAGCGTGCAGAGCGTGACGGGAGCCCAGAAGAACAAATCTGGGTTCTGTCTGGGGGCACTAGGAAGCAGAGAAGTGATGCCCCTGGAGGTGGTTCCAGAAGATACATGGAAAGCTGCCAGGCAAGAAAGACTGAGAAGAGGAAGCATTCCAAGCAGAAGGAATGAGATGTACCAAAACATGGAGACTGAAAAAGGCTGACATGTTTAGGATATGGTCAGGTTTTGTCATTGGCTAATTATTTGATTCTATTTTTAAAAAGATATGGCATTTTTAATCTGCTGTGTTCAGATACAGTAACATTTTAGTACCTGTATTATACATTCTGTGGCTGAACAGATTATATACACACACACACACACTCACATTTCACATAAAAGGGACTTCCTGCAGAGGATGTCCTTAAAATATTAATTAGAAATTACACTGTTGAGGACTTCTAGTTCTAGCTTTGATGAAGTAAGAGGAATGGGGCTTTTCTTCCCACCTTAAACAATAAACTGGACAAAATATAGGAAACAAGAGTTTTCAGATACTGGACAACAAAGGCTGTGTCCAGCAAAGGACTGTGGTGACAGGAAGGAAAGAAGGAAAGAAAGAAAGGAGGTGAGTTTAATTACTGCTCCAGCTTACTGCCTAGAGGCAGTTCCCAGGACCAGCAAGAAGGTATAACACCCAACCCTATTGACGATTACATGAAATGTAAATGGTTTACCAGTTAAAAGACAAAGACTGTCAGATTGGATTAAAAAGCAGGACGACTATATGCTATCTAAAAGAAACCCACTTCATCTGTCTATAAAATCACAGATTAAAACTAAAAGGACAGAAAAAGTTATACCAAGCAAGCACTAACCAAAAGAAACTTGGAGTGACATATTAATATGTTTCAGTCTTCTACTGTTGCTCTAAGAAATCACCACAAATTTAGCAGGTTAAAACAATACAACTTTATTATCTCACAGTTATATATGTCAGAAGTCCAGACAAGCTTGGTTAGTTTTACTGCTCAGATGCTTATAAGGCTGAAATCAAGATGTCAGTTGGCTGGGCTCTTATCAAGGGATTCTGGGAAGAATCTGCTTCCAAGTTCATTCAGGTTGCTGGCAATTTGGTTTCTTGTGGCTGTAGGACTGAGATCCCGGTTTCTTTACTAGCTGTCAGCTTGGGGCTGCCCTTCGATCCTAGAGGTCTCTCTCTGATGAAGCCTTTACATCTCGAAGCCAGCAACAGCATATTGAATCTTTCTCACACGTAGGCTTCTTCTGACTTCTCCTTCTACCACATTGCTCCTGCTTCCAGCAAAAGTTCTCTGCTTAAGAGCTCATGTGATTAGACTAGGTCCACCTGGATAATCCAGGATACTATTCCTATCAAGTCCATAACTGTGGTAGGCAGAATTCTAAAGATATTCCCCAAAATTCCTGTCCCCTGGTTATTCAATCAAACACTAATCTAGGCACTACCAAGAAAGGACTTTGTAGATGGAATTAAGGTTACTAATCAGAGGACCTTAAAATAGGGAGATGAACCTAGATTATCCAGGTGAGCCCAATGTAATCATATGAATCCTTAAAAGCAGAAAAAGGCCTACAAGTGGAGAGATATAGCAGAAGAGGAGAGATGGGTTAGAAGGGGAGGTCAGAAAAATTCTAAACATGAGAAGGATTCAACCTGCCTTTGCTGGCTTTGAAGACGGAGGAAGGGAGCCATGAGCCAAGGAATGCAGGCAGATTCTAGAAATTGAGGATGATTCCTGCTGACAGCCAGTAAGAAAAATGGGGTTCTCAGCCCTACAACCGCAAGGAACTAAATTCTGACAACAACCCAAAAGGGTCTGGAAGCAGATTAATCCCCAGAGCCCCAGAAAGGAATGCTGCCCTGCCCATCCCTTGATTTTGGCCTTGTGAGACTCTAAGCGGAAAATCCAATTTAGCCCTGGTATACCTGTACTTCTGACCCACAGAAGTGTGAGATAATAAGTTCTATGTAGTTTTAAGACACTCAATCTGTGGTAATTTGTCATGGAAACAATAGAAACTAGCACTATAACCTTAGATACTTCTGCAAAGTCCCCCTTACCATGTAACAGGACAGTCAGAGGTTCCAGGGCTTAGGGCCTGGATATCTTTGGGGGGCCACTCTGCCTGCCACAATATAAGGCAAGTATGTTTCTGAACAAGAAATATTACCAGGGACAAATAGGGGCAGTTCATAATGATAAAGAGGTCAATTTGTTGAAGAGGATCTAACAACTGTACATATTTGTGTACCTAATAACAAAGCTTCACAATTTATGTAGAAAATATTAAGGAAAAATGGAAAAATCCATAATTATTGAAAATTAACACTTCTCTCTCAATAACTGATAGAACACATAGAAATTACTAAAACTGTATCAACCAACATGACCTAATTGATACTGATAAAGCATTCCTCCTACAACAGCAGAATACAAATTCCTTTCAAATGCAGCACATGGAATATTCACCAAGACAGACTGAACTCTGGGTCATAAAACAAGACTCAACAAATTTAAAAGGATCAAAATCATACAAAGTAAATCTCTATACACAATGAAATTAAACTAAAAATCAACAACAGAAAGATATCTGGAAAATTCTCAAAATGCTTGCAAATTAAACAACACTATTCTAAATAATCCATAGGTAAAAGAAAACAAACACAAGGAGAATTTGAAAAATTCCAGACTAAATGAAAGTGGACATACAGCTTACTAAAATTTGTGAGCTCCAACTAAAGCAGTACTTAAGGGAACTTTATAGCATCAAATGTTTTTGTTAGAAAAGATCTCAAGTCAGTGATCTAAGATGCCCCTTAAGACACTAGGAAGAGGGGCACCTAAGTGGTTCAGTTGGTTGGGCATCTGCCTTTGGCTCAGGTGCTCAGCGGGGTGTCTGTTTCTCCCTCTCCCTCTGCCCCTCCCCCTACTTTTGCACCCTCTCCAGCTCCCTCTCTCTCAAATAAATAAATAAAATCTTTAAAAAAAAAAGAAAGTAGGAAAAGGAAATTTTAAAAAGTAAGCAGAAGGAAGGAAATGATAAATACAAGTGCAGAAAAAAAAATCAATGAATCTAAAACCTGGTTCTTTGAAAAGATCAAGAAAAAGAGTAAATCTGTAGCCAGAGTGATCAGAAAAAAAGAGTAGACAAAAATCACCAATATCAGAAATGAAAGCAGGGACATTACTACAAATCCTACAAACATTACAGAGATTAGAAGGGGATATTATGAACAACTTTATGCAAGTAAATTTCTTGAAAGAAAGACATTATCAAAGTTCACACAAGAAGAAATACTTTCACATCCCTATATCTATGAAATAAATTAAAATTGTAGTTAAAATCCTTCTCACGAAGAAAATGTCAAGTTCTGAAAAAAACCTATCAAATACATAAAGAAGAAATAGTACCAACTTTGCACAAATTCTTACAGAAAAAGATGGGAGAGGGGTATTTCCCAATTTATTTTATGAGGCCAGCATTACCCTGATACCAAAACCTGATCAAGAAAGAAAACTATAAACCAATACCCTTCATGAACATAGATGCAAAAACCCTTCAAAAATTATCAAACTGGGGAGCCTGGGTGGCTCAGTCATTAAGCTTCTGCCTTCGGCTCAGGTCATGATCCCAGGGTCCTGGGATCGAGCCCTGCATCAGGCTCCTTGCTTGGCGGGGGGCCTGCTTCTCCCTCTCCCACTTCCCCTGCTTGTGTTCCCTTCTCTTGCTGTGTCTCTCTGTCAAATAAATAAATAAAAATCTTTTAAAAAAATTATCAAACTGAATCCAGCAATATATAAAAAGGATATTACAGTATGACCAAGTGTGGTTTAGTCAGGATTGCAAGCTTGGCTTAACATTTGAAACGAATAATGTAATTCACTGTATTAACAGAATGAAAAAAAATGATTATCTCAACAGTTTCAGCAAAAGCGTTTGACATAATTCACTACCCATTCAACATAAAAGCGCTAAACAAATTAGGAATAGAAGGGTATCTATGAAAATAATGTTTAATGGTGCAAGACTAAACATTTTCCCTATAGAAACAAGGCAAGTACCTCCACTTCAATACACCTATTCAACATTGTACTGGAGGTCCTAGCCATAACAATAATACATGAAAAAGATATAAAAGCAATAAAGAATTGAAAGGAAGGAGTAAATCTGATACTTGCAGACAACATGACTATCTGTGTAGAAAATCCTCACTAATCTACCCCCCAAAAAACCCATTTCCAAATCAAATAAGTGAATTTAGCAAAGTTGCAGGATACAAAGTAAATGTACAAAAAATATTACTGTATTTCTTTATGCTAGCTCATTTGAAAAATTGGACACTGAGATTTAAAAAAAAAACAATTATCATTTACTGGGGCGCCTGGGTGGCTCAGTCATTGGGCATCTGCCTTCGGCTCAGGTCATGATCCCCGGGTCCTGGGATCGAGCCCCGTGTCGGGCTTCCTGCTCCGTGGGAAGCCTGCTTCCTCCTCTCCCACTCCCCCTGCTTGTGTTCCCTCTCTCGCTGTCTCTGTCAAATAAATAAATAAAATCGTTTTTTAAAAAACCTATCATTTACTGCAACTTTCCTATAAATCTAAAACTATTCTAAAATTAAAAGTTCATGAAAAAACTGCCATTTACAAACATCATCAAAATATGAAACACTGAAATAAACAAAATATGTGCAAGACTTG